AGGCTTAAAGTGCCCAAGGTTGGAGACCCCTGGTTATAGACCTCTCTGTGTTGTGGTAATTGTTTGCCCAGAGTGCCAAATAAAAAGATGTACACTCACTGAATTCAATAGATCATTTTTTCTCTTTAACAGAATTAACAATTGTTGCAGGATAAAAACAGATGCTGTTTGTTAGGTCTATTTGCTCTGATACTTATTGTTCTATCTACTTCTTTGGCCATTTTCATGGGACTAAAGTTAATCTCTTTCTTTTTTTCTTGGCTTTACAGCCAGATTCCTGACTGAGAACTGCATCTTGCCCATGATAGTTATGCATATTACAGTTTTCCAAGTGATTTACTATGATGAAAATAATACCCACATTCATATTTCACATCTACTACGTGTACCATAGCAATGGTAATGAACTTAAAATGAAGACAACCAACTGTCCTCCCATTAGAGGCATTTGTTCCTTTTAAGCTGACTTGCAATATCTATTATTTGATTTATTGTACATAATGATATTCTCCAGACACTTGTTTCAAATTGCTTTCTGAAAAGCATTTTGGAGACTGTGGATTCTTTTTTCTGTAAGTCTGAGAAAATTTTCCAAATTTCTTTGGCATGATCTAAATATTTTAAATTCAGAGGAACGGCTTCACTCGCTGCCAGATAATCTTAGCTGCTCTGTGTTTTCCAGCAACCCAGGCTCTTTATTCCTAAATTGGGCGTCTCTCCTTGTCTAGCACAATGGTGATTCCTAGAAAGTATTTTCACTTTGAATGTCAAAGGAGTATTTTCACTCTGAATGACCAGAGGGAGGGTTTTGATCCTTGCCCCTTCCAAACAGGCTGAAAATTTCTTGATTCCTTTTTGGTTTGCTTTTTTTCTCCAAGTTTTTCTTCATTGCTCATGAGAGTCCCACTGTTTTATTTATGAAACCTTCTTGTACATTTACTGAATGCTGATATTGAAGCATTCTATATGTGTATATCAATGCTCCCTGAGAGCTGGAATTGGAGCAAAGATTAACAAAGCAAACAATACAACTGTGACAGAAAGAATAGTTATTTATAAGAAATGTTTTATGGAGCTAGGGAAAGATTATCATGTAGCTAGCCTACCAGGAAGAGAGAACAAGAATAGGTCATGAAAGAAGAACATGTCTCAGATTAACCATATTGTAGACAAACATCATAAAAATGATAAATAACAAAGGAACACAGAGTTAATTCACCCCATCTTCAGCCATCTTGGTCTGTATGTTCTGAGATTCTGACCTAACCCTAACCCAAATTTTGCCACTGAATTTGTGCCTACAGCTAGCAGCAATACAGCAGGACATATAACATGTCTTCAGATCTTAACCATCTCCTTACTAACCATTGGTTTATATAATCTAAGTTGAGAATATTGAAAAAAGAGACAGAGAGATTTTAAAATCTAAACCTGAAAATATGAAATAAAAATACTGCGACACTGCTCAGAACAATCCAAAATACTCAAAATGATGGCACTGAACTTTTATTTTAAATGTGGAACAGAACATACATGTTATATTTCAAGCTTCAATGCTTTGGCTAGGTGTTCTGCATGATTATCCTGAATTTGCACATTAGTGTTTTCCACTATATATCAATGAAGCATCTGTGATGCAACCTTGTGACTTCCCCAGTTTGGAATGTATTGGTTGGATAAGATCAAATAATACTATCTGTTGAAGATAGTAGCATCCAGAAACTGTTTGAAAGCAGTAATGGTCCTGGTAACTCCTTCACTCATATTTACAGCATGTAAACACAAAGTGAATTTAAAAAATAAATAAAATAATCTAACTATAAATAGAGTTCTGTAAGCCTCTACACATCTCTCAACAAAATCATTAGCTATTCTTGGTCTTTCCTACCAAGGGCGGATGCCGTGTAGCCCATGGATAAGCACCTTTCTAGAAAGGAGAAGCAGCTAAGGAATATGAAATAATGAAAGCTGAAACCTAGCAGTTAAGTAGATTTGCTAGTTTTAAAAAAGAGGCTGCTGGTTGTAAGAATATCACAAGAGCAAATTAAAGGTAGATCGAATGCAGAAGACTAGAAATCATAAATCTAATAGAAAAATGCTCATAAGACACCCCCCCCCCCCAAAAAAAAAAGAGAAGGAAGTTGTGAGAAGGAAGATTGCTGCTGGAGGTATGGATGTAAATAAGGAGACCAGTGTGAAGAAGATATAATCAGCAGTCTAGCAGTCTGAAAACGTTAGAGCAATTGTGTCCAATCCATGACCCATGGGCTACATGCAGTCCTGAACAGCTAGTTATGGGGCCCTGAAAGATCATAAATTTTTAATATATTTATGTGATATATTTTATATGTGGCTCAAGACAATTCCTCTTCACTCACTTTCTCCCTCTTCACTTTTAGTTCGCCCAGGCAACCCAAAAGGTTGGACAACCATGTCTTAGATGTTCCAGGCAAAGCTGGCTTGGGAAACAAGGTTGGAGGAAGAAATTAGTATTGTTATTTCATCCAACCCATTATTAGGTAGAGTCCATTAAGAATGAATATTGTTGCCAGGGCTAGACAAAGGAGAAAATTGAAAGCTATGTAGAATCCACAAGAAGCTAGATAAGAAGACAAGAGACAGCAAGAGAGATTTCTGATTGATTTGCCCAAAGGAGAATTCCCACAGAGGAGAAAGATGAAGGCTGGTATAGACAGGAATGTTGATAAAAGAACCACAATTACTATTCTCTTAGGTGGACCAACCTCATTTGCTTGAAGGAAGAAGATGGAAGAAACAACAGAAGTGAAGGAAGAAGTTGGAAAGGGGAGAAAAAGTGGAAGAAGAGGGAGAAAGTGAGAGAAGAGAAGAGAATTCCAAAAATAATTCAACAATTAAGAAAGCATTGACACAGCTAAATAATCAAGAAGTAAGAATAAGAAGAGTGAGGTGAAGAAGGGTGAGGTTAGTTTTCAGGCAAAGTTTTTAAAGACAAATAAAGTAACTTTCAAAGTGAAGTCCAACTAAAAGGGATTAATTAATATTGAAAAGTAAAGAACAAACTGTTATAAATGTAAATAAACAAAGCTTCAGAATGATTGAAATAGTGTGTTTGATACTATTTTGCATATAACTATGCAATAAAGTGTCTTTTTGTAATAAAACTTGATCTCTTCTTGGTAGCCATCAATCTGTATAAAAAAGAACCAAACCCAGATTCATAATGAATAATCTCATTCATTCATTCAGCAATACAATAAAACATTTGGGAGATGAATTCTGGCGTGATTTCATATATGCTTCAAATTATGTGTGTGTGCATTTGTAGTGACAGCATCTAACTGACCTTGGCTGATCTTGAGAAACATAGCAGAGTTACAGCTGCTTAGATGGGAGATTGCCAGCAGGACTGGGAATGTGAAGGCAGCAATGGTAAACTACGTTTGCATTTTTGCAAAAAAATAAAAACACATTTGAATATGCCCATGAGGTCACCAGAAATTGAATTATAGATGAGAGAGTTTTTAGTTATATTGTAGTGATTTAGTTTCTGTTCCATGCATGAATCAACTTGATTTGTATACGTTTTAATATAATTTGTTTCATAACTAAGCTCAGGGTCCTTTGCAGGGACAAAAACTAT